TTTATGCGTTATGGTATACATTTCTTTTTATAAGTAGTTTTATATTAATGTTTACTTGAATATTTCCGCCTTAAATCTGTTTATAAATACATTTTTGTTCAAAAAATTTGTTAGTTACATATTTGTTTAGAAATTGCAAAATTCTTAGTGTTTATTTAATTGCAAAAATGGTTATTAACTCACCTTATCATGTTTCTAATCAAATCGAGTAATCATATTTGGCAATTTATACTACACCAAAATGAAATATTTTCCTCTTGAATTTGATGGCAAAAGCTTTGTCTTGACCGATCAAACTCTGGCTGCTCATGAAATTGATACACCTCCTGCAATCATTGTGATCATCAAAGAAACAGTCTCCATATCTTCTTCATATGTCTTTCTACAGTATGAGTCTTGGATCAAGCCATGCTTCTCAATAAACTTATGGCAAACTCACACATTTTTCATGAACTCTTTGAAGATGTAGAAAAACTGATTATTCTACCCCTAATAGGTTTATTGCCTATATTTCTTTATCCTTATATATTTTGCCATTTTTGGAAGGTTCGTGATTTTCTCTTATTTTGAAAATCGTTATTTACATGGAGATGAAATCTTCTTAAAGGATGTGAAGGATGCCAGACATCAACCTCTTCTTTCCTCTCTGTTGACCTCCATTATCCTCCCGAATACGAACTCTTATTTTGTTGATGTAGGGTGGAATGCTTTCTCGAAAATTTGTTGTATGGGTTGCACTATTAAATCTCCTTTGAATTCTTCTGCTCCATAGTAATCCAAACAAACTATTTACTTTTTGACCATTTTTTTGAAGCTACGATGAACTAAATATTATATAGTATGCTATTGTTTTCTTGATTTTTTGTTTTAGCTCCCAAAGCTTGATCTCTCATCACCTAAAAACTGCAAATGAACTCATATGTCTTCTATACGACATTATGCATTTTTGTTTCTATCTCCATTTTTTTATTCATAGATTATGTAATGTTGAGATCGATTCTTTTGCAATGTTGGCTTTGTTTGTTTAGAACAATTCTTCAGTTATTGTGGTGTAACCTACTCTTTATTTGTAAAAACTTAAGTTTGTCAAAGATAATTCACCTTAAGGTTTATTTAATTCTTTATAACTAATATTTTAGTTATACAAATGTTTTTTATATAATTTTAAATTTGTAGTAAATTATATTTTTTAACAATAATTTTTAAAAATATTAATTTAATTACGTTGGACTTGTGGAGTTTCTAATTTAAACCGGTTTTATTAATTAATTTTCTTGAAACATAAAAGAAGTTAACTAATTTTAAAAATATAGCTAATTTTAGATGACGATATAGATTAATATTATTGGCTGTTTTAAAATTTGAAAAATGAGATGATGATATAGATTAATACTATTAGTTGTTTATGTGGACCAGTAAGATGCGATTTTATAATCCTATGTGGACACTCTTAAATGTATTTAGCCTCAAATTTTATATTAAAAACATATTTATTAAAAAGTATTAATTAATCACTTTAAACTTGGGAATTTCTAATTTAAACAGATTATACTAATTAATTTTCTTGAAACATAAGAAAGAAATTAACTAATTTAACAAATATAACTAATTTTGTATGATGATATAGATTAATACTATTGGTTGTTTAAAATTTGGAAATTTTCTTAATTTTATATGATTATGTGGAATGATACTATTGGTTGTTAAAATTTGGAAAATTTCTTAATCTTAAAAGTGCCTATGTGGACCAATAAGATTACATCTTAAAATCCTATGTGGACGCTCTTAGAGCTTATAGCCTCAACTTTTATATAGTATAGATTACCCAATGATAATGATACAGTTCGATTTCAAAACATTTTATACATTTGATATATTTAGGGTATTTTGATAAATTCAAATGAAATAGTTTTCAAAATTTTGAAAACATGGGTTAGTTTTCTCATTCATTCATCAAACTTTTGAAAATTTTGGTAATATTTTTTACAGATTTCCTCTTACAGTCTAGTTCTTTCTTTACAAAAAAAAGCAATATATATTCTCATACATTCAAATATTCAATTTACATGTTCATCTCTAGATATTGAAATTGCCCTTTGGGACAACTATATAGCCACTTCTCTTTATATTATGTGCAAACGAATCTGCAGTTTTATATCTTAAAAGGTGAAATTATTTGAAGCCAAAGAAGGGGAATCCATTTTTTCTTCAAAAACTTGAGATTTTGAAAGGAACTTATGTTTTTAAATAAATCGGAATTTTAATTTGGCGCAAGAAATAAAATGAGGAATATGATTCGGAATCGTTTTGTGGGAACACGCGTTACTCGATCGCGAGTTAAAGCAATTTTTTCCAGCTGACGCCAAACTCGTTTTCAGCAATCTCATAGCTCCACGTAATAATGTAGATGGATAGATAAATATACCAATACACCATATACACGAATATATGCAAAGATAAACTTCTTGTTCAAATAACATTTTTCTTAGCATGTCTCTAATTGGAAAAATAAATTCATTTTCTTTGAAAAATAAAATTTAAAAATCGGTTAATATATGCAATTTGAGTTGCAACCACACGATGTACGGACGACAGTACGTGGTTATTATATACTAATACTAGATTCGATGGTATACATATGGGTGATATGTTTTGCAAATAAAGAGTAAAGCATTTTAGGGATTCCGCCATGCATGCATTACCCAAATTTGGCCATTGGTCTTCTTGCAAGCCAAACTTTGAGGTCCAAGAGTCGTACATGCAACCATCATCGAATCTACCAATTTTTCGTATTTTGACATATACAACATGCAGTATATATTTATACATGTAAGCAAGTCTAGAATGAGCCTCCGTAGTTTGGAAAAAGAAAGGTTCGTTTATTTATTGGATAAATGTTCTTTTCACATCCAAACCAAGGATTCGATGGTTCATGGGATATTATAAAAAGGCGAAAGACTTTTAAGTTTATATGATTAGTCTTTGAAAATTATGGATGACAATAGGGTTACCAAACAAAAAAAACAGAAAATTATGCATGACATCATTAGTTTAACATTTTTAAACTGATTAACACTTAATACTAACTTTTAGATTGATAATTGGTTCCTCCAAAATCGTCTTATAGAACTACCACAGGCCAATAGTGGTCTTTCCCAATTGGCTTCTGTCCCTCTTTGTTCAAAACTTTCTGAAATCCGTACTGCTACTAGCAAGATCGAATCCGTCGATCAGATACGTTAATCATCTCTTTTATACCTTTTCTCACTCACATATGACATCTACAACGATGAAATGAAACAATACGGTGTTAAACGTCTTGTCTTTGATATAGTACTAACTCTATGTACTAACATAATTGTTTAGCATATCATGTTGATGTTTGAATCTTCAAAATTACGTTGAAACACAGCTTCGCGGTAACAAGAACCCTATTCGAACAGACTATTAGCTATTTGGAAAATCATCACATGAATGCGACCAGTTATGTCTCCTTTTGCAATAAAGCTGTGGAGGGTCGAGACCACCAATTTCTTGAATGTGAGTACACTCAAAATGCATGTTAGGCTTGTTGCGATGGGATGGACCGTTTAAGTCACGCATCTTATCCGACATCATCATGGGACCAGATCACGACATGGTCTAGTGAGAAGCTCTGCATATATATCTAAACTGATACTGGTCTTATCGTTGCTGCGATGTTTTCTCACATCTTTACGATCATAGGTGCAAATAACCGTGCAATCCAATATGTATTTTTGTGTTTATGAGCATAAATATGCAAAAAAATCATTAACAAAATCGATTTTGATCAGCAGAACAATGTATATTTTCATTTTCAAACCGAATTATGGAAATATAAGTAAACCGCATATTGTTGCATGAGGGAAAAATCAAATTATCTAAACGGGGGACCTCGAGCTGGGCATCTATACATGCATACAAATATGTGTTTTTTCTTTCTTTCATACGTATTCTCGCGATTCGCTGTCCTTATAATTCGTTAGTCCCCATGAAAACAAATGAAGTGCTTAGCTCATATATAGAATATTTCTCGTTCTCTCTTATTATCATAAAATAGCTTTTTGTAAGTTGAAAAATGTGGAAGTGGCGAGTCGAGAATAGAATCCTCACGTAGGAGAAGGAGACGTACGTGGCCTAAAGAAAAGAGACGCCCTATTTTGGATAACTATGTCTCCAACTCAAAAGATGCCTCTTGATGATAGGCTTTAACATATTCCATTCTGAGTGTGAGAGAGAGAAACATATCTAAGAACATGAATATTTAACAAACAAAATTGTGAGAAATCATGGATTTCAAGTTAATAATAAATGGAGTAGTTCATTATGATATACTAGTGTTAGTTTCTTGAATTTTTGATGTATGATCTTTTAACTCGTTCTGTTGAAAAAAAAACAGTTTGAAAAGATTTTCCGAACCACCGGACACACATGACTCAACTATTCTTTGAAGAAGTCTGAGCCACAATGAGTATAGCCTAGCTAGAAGAATATAAACCTAAACTTCTCTTTTAATAATCGCTTAGGACTTATAACATCAAATGAGACTGACTATATAGATCGCTTTATGAAACCGTACAAGCTAAGGACATTATCACCTTTTAGCCATGACTATATATGTCAAAATGGACAATAACAAAGAAAACAAAATATAAACTTTTCGAAAATCATTAGATTCCCAATTACTTACGTTTTGTGATCCAAAATAAAACTGAGCTTGTGTCGCTTTTGGACTAGATATCGTTAGAAACAAAATCCAAACATCTATCTAATCCAATAATCATCGTCTTCTCTGCCTCTATATAAACAAACACTTCGCACCTATTTCCTATCAACACAACATAATCACAAAACCTTATATATTCTTCGAGTAAAACCTTTTCTTTCCCTTTAATCTCTACAAAATCTATTCAATATTTTCTTCACTCCGTAAAATACATATAGATTCATAAACCAATTAAAAACCACATTAAGCAGCAATGGAGATGATCACGAAGATGGTGTTGGAGAGACCGGTGGTGATATACAGCAAAAGCTCATGTTGTATGTCTCACACGATCAAGACTTTGCTCTGCGATTTCGGAGCTAATCCAGCGGTTTACGAGCTCGATGAGGTGTCAAGAGGGAGGGAGATTGAGCAGGCGCTGTTGCGGCTAGGTTGTAGTCCGGCGGTTCCAGCTATATTTATCGGAGGAGAGTTGGTCGGTGGAGCCAATGAGGTCATGAGTCTACACCTTAACGGATCATTGATCCCTATGCTTAAGCGTGCCGGTGCATTGTGGGTCTAACTTAATAAATATTTATCTAGTTTAACTAGCTACTTAACACTGAGTTAAGTACGCAGAATAATGTTTGTCTTAACACACCTATGATCTTTGACATGGTAATATGAGTCTACGTCAGATCTATAATCAGTGTGTTGTTGTCTTTTTCTTCTTTCCTTTTTGATGTTTTTTCAACTTAAAATAAGGAGAGTACGCAAAAATTATACTCCTATTGAGCTGAATATAATAATGAAAAAAAAAATCTGCAAACTGACTAATCAAAATTTGTAACCTAATGATTTGTGTTGGTACTATCGCTATAATACCACCAAATTTTAATAAAAATTAGTACATGTTACTGGAAAAAAAACAAGATTGCAAGCTAAAAATATCCAGTTAATTACGTCAAACCCACAATGCACAACAGTTAATTACGTCAAATCTTTAAAGTAGTAGTAATCCATTATATTTGTCCTTATAAAAGTTAATGTTTAATCCTTTAGGTTTGAGAGAAAAAATAATTAACTAAAGATTAGACGAGCATTAAAGTCGCGGGAAGTAGCGAAGGTTGGGACCCACAAAGGCGTCGCAAATGGCGAGAATTAAATATCTTCGGCGAACTCAAATCACACTTCGCCAGAAACAGACAAAACATGTCGCCATAACTCAACGAACCATTACATAAAAATAAAATCACACATGACACATCGGTTGCTTCTGTCCCTCTCTCTCTCTCGTCTCTACTCTCGAACGGCTAAAGTAAAGCACATATCGTTACTAGATTCGGTTTTTTTTTCCCCTTTTGCTGTTTAAAGACACGAACTTTGGTCCCATAGTTATTGCTTGAAGACAAGAACTTCATATACTTCCGTAAGCAAAATCAATCACATCCCTGCACTGGCCCAGCCAGCTTGCTAGGATCCAATGCGACGTCGTCTAGACTCGTTTCGAGCTGTGGATATGGCTATTGTAGTGGTTGATTGATTCTATTCTCTCTTTTCTACTGGGATTTTTCTCGGCAAACCAAACCGGTGAGTTTTGGGTGTTATGTGTATCTCTGTTTTGTCAATTTTAGATCAGCTCAGAAACTTGTGAATCTTAGATTCGCAACAAGTTAAGAACGGATTCTATTTTTAAAATTTTAGAAATTTCTTGCTTTGAGCTTATCAAGATTAATGACAATGTTGCTTTTTTTTTCTTTGTCCAATGTTTTTCTAGGGTTATCTATCTCTGGGTATCTGAGAAATCGGAAGAAAAAATGTTCAGCTTTTCAAAGAGGCGCATGAGACTTGGCAGGTCAGACTCCTTTTTACACTACTGGAAAATCAAATCGCCTTTTTGGGCCTGTGTTGATTTTTTGAAAGTTGACAACTTTTTTGGCGTTCTTTAACTTTACATAAGACTTTAATCGAAAAACGATAGATTTAGTAATGAGTACCTTTTAGAGCATCCTCTTTACTCTTACTCTAAAAGCAGCTCCTTTTATAATATTGTTTCAGCCTTTCAGGAACAAGTATTAGTCCTTTCTTTAGTCCTATGAAGTGCCGATGAATATTTGAACTGTTCTCAGTTTTGGGGTTTCTATTTTTAGGTTGATAATCAATATAAACGTTTCATGCTAAATATAGATTTAATTGATTATGCATCTTACTCTGAATGTGTATGTAAATTGATCAGAATGAAGAAGGTACAGCTCTCGGATTCTGCACAAGGATTGAAGAGTCCTTTGAGAGCAACCAAACGCACAGATAACTCTAGTGTGAGTTGTGTAAAAACTCCACAACACTGACTGTTCTTCCGGTAATATTGACTGTTATCTGATTTGTGAGAAACATTGATGCAGAACGAAGTTGCTGTGGCTGCAACTAGTTCTCCTGATGAACTTAATTTCCAGCCTTCATTGGGGAATTCTGAAAATTGGATGGCGTTATCGGTTGGTGGGGAAAAACCAGCTCCACGCTTTAATGTAACTGAGTTTCTCAGTTGTCTTTTGTCTTTTGTCCAGTCATTAAGCTTCTGAGCTGTTTTGAAAAACCATTGGGAGGAAATGTAAAAAAAGACTTTTACTTTTATGCAGCATGCAGCAGCAGCTATTGGTAATAAAATGATAGTAGTTGGTGGAGAATCTGGTAATGGCTTGTTGGATGATGTACAGGTAAGAGGATGTGGGTTAAAAATCAACACTTTAGAGTATATCTGTTTGAAGGGATTTATATCCTCAAGTTTTGTATCTACAGGTGCTTAACTTTGATTCATTTACATGGTCCACGGCGTCTTCAAAAGTTTACTTATCGCCGAGCAGTCTTCCTCTCATGATCCCTGCCTGGAAAGGCCATTGCTTGGTAACTGATTGCTGGTTTACTTTATTTCTTTAATTTAACTGATTGCTGGTCCATGAAAAAGGTCATTTACTAGGTTGTTGTTTGTTGTTTGATGTTTTGTATCTTTCGGTTTTGATTGCTTTTTTTATCCGTTGTTAGGTCTCTTGGGGTAAAAAAGTGCTACTGGTGGGTGGAAAAACAGATCCCAGCAGTGATAGAGTTTCAGGTTTAACACTGTTGTTTTGGATTCTAAAGCTTATATCTGCGATGTTTCGCTCTGCTTAAGACGGTGTCATATTTGTATTTATAATTTGCAGTTTGGGCGTTTGATACTGATTCTGAATGCTGGTCGCTAATGGATGCAAAAGGAGACATACCTGTAATTTCCCAAGTCCTCAAGATACTATATGGTTGTAGACAACATTCTGCATTGTCTTATTGGGATATGAATTTGCAGGTCAGTCGCAGTGGTCACACAGTGGTGAGGGCAAGTTCAGTACTTATACTTTTCGGAGGGGAAGATTCTAAGAAAAGGAAACTAAACGATCTTCATATGTTTGATCTCAAATCATCCACATGGCTTCCTCTTAATTGCACGTTAGTCTTTGTCTGATGATAGTTTACACTAAAACTCTTACCTTGTGGTTTCTTGATACGTTTTTTTTTGTTAAAAAACTAGAGGGACACGACCGTGTGCAAGATCAAATCATGTAGCCACGCTTTTTGACGACAAGATACTGTTTGTGTTTGGAGGTTCGGGCAAGAACAAAACACTAAATGACTTATACTCACTCGACTTTGAAACTGTAATGCTTTTTTTCTATCCTTTTTTTTACCAGAATTGGATTCTTTTTACATTTCTTGACACTGAACATTTCTTATCTTTTGGTGTCATCAAGATGGTATGGTCAAGAATAAAGATAAGAGGATTTCACCCGTCCCCAAGAGCAGGTAGCTGTGGAGTTCTCTGCGGTACTAAATGGTATATAACCGGAGGTGGAAGCAGAAAGAAGAGTAAGTTCTACCTCGAAACTGCGCTTAACTTTACTTGGATGATCCAAAGTTGTATCTTACAAACGTCGCTTGCTTTTTGCAGGACACGCGGAAACATTAGTCTTTGATATTCTAAAGGTCGAGTGGTCTGTGGCAAGCCTCTCCTCTCAATCTTCCATCACAGCTAATAAGGTAGTTAAATAAATTAAAAAACTCACTTTTCTAATGTTTCAACTGCCAACAGTTAAAGCTCAGTTATTGTCTTGTGTAATGTTTGTTATAGGGATTCAGCCTAGTTCTTCTGCAACACAAGGATAAAGATTTTCTTGTAGCTTTCGGTGGAACGAAAAAAGATCCTTCAAATCAGGTCTGAGCCTCATCATTCCGCTGCATTGTTCACATTTTTTTTTGTTACAAATTCTCTCCATCTTTCCTCGTGCTTTAATGCCAAGTCTGAATATTTCTGTGAAAAGGTTGAGGCTTTTATCATTGACAAGAACAAGAGTGAATCACCAACACATCCGCAGACGACTTCCAAGAAAAATCCCGGCCGGTTACTGTTTGGAAAACGATCTTCTTCCTCTGCAGCTTTATCCTCTGATGAGTCTGTTAAAGCCTCTTCCCAGAGGCTGATCGATTCGGTTGCTAGACAAAAACTTGCTTCGGCCATTGAAGAGCACGGTGGCTCTGGTAGAAGGTCTTTGTCAGAGATTGCTTTTGCTGATCATCGTAACCCATCTTCTGGTAACGTCTCTTTGCGTAAACAGTTTAGCACTGAAGAAGAATACAGAGCGGTTATAGAACCAGCAAAGAGCTCAGAAGAAGAAATTTCCTTGCCTCGGGTATATATAGTTAAGTTCATGTTTAGCTGCATTTTCTGTTCTTGAATCGACTTAAATGTGTCTGCCTTGGTTCAGGCCGGAGATGACAACAGTGGAGGAGCAAAGATTACAGCAGAGAAAACACTTTCTACTGTGTCTGACCGGGAAATGTCAAATCCTCAGAAGCAAGGCTCTGAAACATTTCCTTTTGCTCACATCGACGATGCCTTGATATTCCCGGAAATGGATAACACCAATTTAGCAGCGTTGGCGTCATCATCTAGCGTGTACCAATTCCACGAGGCGAAAATGACGGCTCTGGTAAGAAGAAACGGGATTCTTGAAGGGCAGTTAGAAGCAGCACTGGCCGGAAGAGAAGCGGCTGAGAGGAACGTGTCGGTTGCTCTGAGGAGCAAACAAGAGACTGATAAAAAGCTAAGTGACGCCTTGAGAGATGTTGAATTGCTCAAGGAGAAGCTCACTGGGGTAGAGCTCGCTCAAGAGGAAGCTAATAGTTTGTCAAACATTGTTCACTCCGACAATGTCAGGCTTGAACATGATGTAGCGTTCCTGAAAGCTGTCCTAGACGATACACAAAAAGTAAAAATCCTTGTGCATGGATATACAAGCGTTTTAAGGATCAAAGTCTAATCATGCTTTGTGTTATCGGTTTTGTAGGAGTTGCATTCAACAAGAGGAGTGCTTGCAGGAGAAAGAACAAGAGCATTCCAGTTGCAGGTATCATCATCAGTCATCAGCTGTGTTCAAATTTTGCGTTTCCAAAGCAGCGTTGTTCTAAAAGCGTGAGTTGCATGCAGGTTGAAGTGTTTCATCTTAAGCAAAGGTTACAGTCACTGGAGAACAGAGCTGCTACACCAAGGAAGCCTTTCCATGTCTAAACACAATCCAGAGTCCACAGAGAGCCTTACCACTTCCATTTTGTAATACTCAAGACACGAATGAAACCCTGGCTATGTTTTGTGGATTAATGCAAAAAGGGAAACAAGAATTTAGAAATCTCAAATCCAAATCATATTCCAAGCAGAAGAAGACAAGTGACAATATAAACAGCCATCTCTTTCGTTTTTTCCACTAAATTAAACGTCAGCAACTAATAAGCTTCTTACATAAAGATACAAACACATCAGAGTGGAGACTAGAGGAGACTTTTGGTCTTTCTCCGACCCACCTGATCTCAATGATTAGCATTTTTTTTTTTAAAAAGACCCAGAAAATAACATTATCATTGTGACTCTTCCTCCGGTGGTTCTTCTTCTTCTTGAAGAAGGTTCTCACGGTTGTCATGAGCCCAGAAGCCACGCACATCTATGAGCATGCTCGCAACGGTTCCACCTTGTTTACATCCCAAGAGATCGCTCAGAGTGATCTTTAACGGGTCAGACGGTTTCACCATGTCCCAGATCTCATCCCGAACATCCTCTATGCACAGTTCATAGTTTCCACCTTCTATCCATTTCTGGTGCACATCTCTGCAAGTTTAGCAGATGACATATGAGACAGTAACTTAGAAGAGAAATAATGACATTATAACACATCAAAGGTTGTGTGTTTTAAATGCACTAGTGTCTTTGCAGATATGAGACTCGCGGTACAAAGCTCAGCTTCGGCAAGCAGGAAATGCAAAGTTTTTTTTATATAGGAAGATTGTATCAGATAACATCACAACTCTTTGATGCTCCCCTTCTTTACTTCCATTTCTTTGGAGGAAATCTACTAAAAAGTAAAAAAACCAAACAGATACATTACCTGAAAAGAGAGTGAATATCAGCAGTGGTGAGAAAGCCTCTCCCTTGGAGATCAAGACAGCGGAATAAGTATGTTAAACCCTCTGGAGTGTCTTTGTTCTCCAAAGCAAGAACGAAATCTAAGAAGCTATAAAAGTCCATTTCCCGGGCAGTGTCTTTGCTCCCTTTTTCGTTTTTGTTCTGAAGAGAGCTGTCTTTGCTGCTTTTGATACGACGGACATGCTCGTCAAACACTACAAAAGAGCAAGGGATATGAGGAACTTTTTCTTTCAACTTTCTAGTCAGTAACAAAGAGGAAACTAGAACATACCCAATTACTTCTAGAACTATAGTTAAGCTTGTCTCAAGTGACTATTGACTATCAATACCACAAGAAGTATACAACCAAAAGGTATTTGATTTTACCTCTTTCTATGAAAATCTCAGTTAGAGTCCCATCTGCGTATTCTTTAAGTTCTTGTTTGCAAAGCGATCCACTCATATCTTTATCAAGCGCAAGAAACATATCTACAGAAGAAAGAGAAACTCTAATCAATTTGCACTTGACTCTTCACGTGATATAACAAGAGTTGTTTCCAGTATGAAAAAAAGAAATAGCACACCCACCACATATTCGTTGAGCTGAAGTCAAAGAGAACCAATTCTCGGCCTGCTCTGTGTCTGTGACTTCCTCTTCACTTTCCTAACGTAGAGTATCCGGGGAACAATCAGTAAATGCAAGGAAAATGAAAAGTAGCTTCTGCATACGATCACAGAGTTGTCTTTCACTCATCATTCATCTAGACTGACCTGATGCAGTTCCATTAGTTCCTGCAGACAATTGCTGAGCAGTATCTTCTTAATACAGGCTTTGCCTGTATGCAAAAAAGGATCACATTTAACACATGGCAACTGAATACTAGATCACGAAATTTCTCGCTAAATCACAATACACATTTTTGGCGCATACCTCGCCTATGGGGATCACAGAAGAAGAAAAACTTTTGTGAAGCTATGCGGCAGTACATTTGCATAAAGGCCTCAGGCATGTCCCTCAGTTGTGCAAGATTAGGGATCAAACCAGAAATATAGGACTCCATTTCCTATAATAACAGCAGGTAGACTTCTTAAGCTTCTTGGTCCAATTCTAAAGTTAAAGCCATAGTAGAGAGACTTGGGTACTTACATCAACTTCAAGAAAACCATCAGAGTCTTGGTCGAGCTCACTCATATCAATCCTGGCTTGTGTAAGCGACACCTGAACAGTGTTAAATAAATGATTATCTAAACAAGTGTATAGTTGGTTAAAGGAAAGGAAAAGTCAAGTTCAAACAGTCAAGGAGACTCACTGTGCGCATCACATAAAGATAGAACGGTAAAATAGCAATCCTTCCAGCCTCATCCTTCTCAAACTTCATGAAATTGGATGGACTAAAAAACCGACGACATTTGGGGCCGATTTGTTCAGTACATACAGAGGCAATGTGACAGAAGTCTTCATAGTTCATCTATATGGACACGAGTTACCAATTATCAGAAACATCATCAACATTGATAAACATAATTTCAGCTCTACAGCAAAATTATACAAAAGATGCAAGTACCTTTTCTGCACCAGTGGCATCATCAATCACACAATTTTCTCTCAAACAATTCCACATAGCAGCCAAATCATCAGAGTTCAATAAAAGATCCGATTGTTTCTGCGGAAATTATTCAACACATCGAAGTGAGCAACTTGCAATTTTTCTGAAGAAATAGGAGCAGGCGATGAAGAATCTATACCTTCAAGAAGCGGTATTTTGCAAGCTTCTGGACCTTTTGACTAATAGACCCTTCTTCTGGTTTCTGAACAAAGAATAAATGAACAAAATATCATCGTCTGACACGAATTCTATAGGAAGACCCCAACTTTTACGAAATGTGTGTAAATGCAAGATTTTAATCGGGTAATGCCGTGAAAGGCAAAGACAGACAATCATCTTATAGAGTAACGATACTCATGGAAGCGACATACCTTCTTATAGAAGCTCGGTATCGTGCCTGCTTCTTGACTTTTCTGTTGCTTCTCTTTGAATATCTCGAGCAAGATTCTCTTCGTCTCAAGCTCTGCAAAACAATGAAACCAAAGCCTTTATCAAACTCCTCAAAAACTAAGACTTTATCACAGTTAACAGAGTGTTTGAATACATAGACAGAGCTACATTTTTCATTTTTATTCGATGGCCTCAAATTCAGGAAATTCACTAACGTCAAAACACAACCAATTCGAAAATGCGATTAAAAAAATCCAAACTTTCCTCGGAGGAAATGAAAGAGAATAACTTTATGACTTACCCATTAGAGCTTCGGATCCTAATCCGGCGCCGGAGCCAATGTACCGTCGTAGATTTCTGACCCAAAGCATCGAAGACGCTGGAGGAATCTTCCTCTGCGTCGAGGTGTCGTGGCTTTCGCCGTCGCTAGATCCGCTATACATTTCTTCTAATCACGCAGATCGTCACAGCCTTCGACGAAAAAAATTAGCCACCAAATGAAACAGAGAGATAAAACCCCTTAAAGCGGAAAGTGAGAACTAAACCAGGAACTTCAGAAACCCTAGAGGCTAGAGCAGCCTTCTTCTCTTTCAAACTCTCCTCTGATCTACGAGATCCAAGCTTCAAAGGTAACCAAAGTTTCTACCTTTTTGCAATATAAGTCTTCACTTTCATGATACTTTGATTATTACCCCATTTCCTTTAAAAAATCAAAATTTAGTACAGGAATGTGTATCGCATAAAGTCCCGTTAAATCGTTTCGCAGAGAAACGAAGAAATGGCTTCCATATCCATTAACTGTTTCTTCACTCCTCAAGCTCTAGCTCGACCTAGCAGGACCCAGAAGTTCTCCGACAGACCTGGAAAAGTCTCGGGAAGAACCCGAAATCCTAGGAAAACGAATCTCCACCGTGAAGTCGAGCTTAAATCTCGAGGCGGTGATAGACCCCAGCCGGTTTCCGACGCCGGCGGAGAAGCCACAACTTATACACGTCTTCCTCCCAGGGAAGATTTCTCAGATGTCTCTCTTCTGTCTTCCTCTTATTTAAAGCTCTCTGAAGAAGTGAAGCTATCCGAGTCCAATGTCGCTGGGGTGGAGGAAAATGTTGAATTATTGGCGGAAAAGGATGATGTTGAAGAGAAAGAAGAAACGGCGAAGAATGATTATGATGACGATGATATCTGGGGGAATTACAGAAGATTAGATGTGTTTGAAGGAAATTCGGGATCAATTGATGAAGATGATGAGGATTACGAAGACGAAGTGTTCGAGTATGGCGATGTGACGGATGTGGAGAAACATGACAGTGAAGGATCTGGATCGATGGATGAGAAAGTATTGTGCTTTTCAGGTGAAGAGGGAGAGGAAGAAGAGGATGACGAAATTGGGGTGAAGGAGAAAGGGGTTCCGGCGGTGATGCGGTGCTTCGACAGAGCGAAGGTGTTCGTGAAAGCCGGGGACGGAGGGAACGGCGTGGTGGCGTTTAGGCGGGAAAAGTTCGTTCCTTTCGGAGGACCTTCTGGTGGAGATGGAGGGAGAGGAGGGAATGTGTATGTAGAGGTTGATGGGTCGATGAATTCGCTGTTGCCGTTTCGAAAGAGTGTGCATTTCAGGGCGGGGCGTGGGGATCATGGGAGAGGGAAGCAGCAGAGTGGAGCTAAAGGAGTTGATGTTGTGGTGAAAGTGGCTCCTGGGACGGTGGTGAGACAGGCTAAGGAGGTTGGGAGTGAGGCGGAGGATGGGGAGGAGGAGGAGGAGAAGGAGGTGCTTCTGGAGTTGCTGCATCCGGGACAGAGGGCGTTGCTGTTGCCTGGAGGGAGAGGTGGACGAGGGAATGCTTCGTTTAAGTCTGGAATGAATAAAGTTCCTAGGATTGCTGAGAACGGTGAAGAAGGTCCTGAAATGTAAGTGTGATTTTCCATCATTCCTGAGTTGGTTTCAGTTTTAGTGGTAACGTGTAAAGTTTGTGACTTTAACTAGTAGAAGTGTTTAATTATGGATTCATTTTCCAAATCATATGTTAGTTCTGCGAGGATGAACAAATCGTAGAAGCTAAATTGTTTAAGGATGCAAAAAATCATTTTTGTTTAGGAGCATGGAACTCTGCGACGCATTTGATTTGTTTTTCTTCTGTTTTGTAAAGCTTGATTCGTACATGTGAGTGTTGCTTGCTTCATTTGATCATCCGGGTTAGGTTTGTTATCTTGGTTGATCTCAGATGAATATCATCTTGTTAGTAGTGCTCTATATACAAGACTTCATATACTTACAGATGACAAGACCTTTTTGAAATCTTCCGTTGTTGACTCTCCTTATAAAACAGGGATGTTAATGTTTTAAGAAAGGATTTGAACTTCTGGACTGTTTTTAGATTGGATTGATTACGAGACCTTGTGCTTGCCTTTTAGGACATGTAATATGCGGTTAATGTGTACTTTTACATATTGCAATAGGTGGCTGGACTTGGAACTGAAGCTGGTTGCAGACGTAGGGATCGTGGGCGCTCCAAATGCAGGAAAGAGCACGTTGTTGAGCGTGATAAGTGCTGCGCAGCCAACCATAGCAAATTACCCATTCACCACATTACTCCCCAATCTAGGTGTGGTTTCATTTGATTATGATTCAACAATGGTGGTCGCAGATCTTCCTGGTTTGCTCGAAGGAGCGCACAGAGGCTTCGGTTTAGGCCATGAGTTTCTAAGACACACTGAGAGATGTTCAGCATTGGTAAAACAACAACCATCTTTAGATTCAAGCCTCATACTCTATTTTTTTTTTGTTATGCTTAAAAAGAGTCTCTCTTTTGTGGTGTAAAGGTACATGTCGTGGATGGTTCAGCTCCGCAACCTGAACTTGAGTTTGAAGCTGTTCGTCTCGAACTCGAACTATTCAGTCCTGAAATCGCCGAGAAGCCTTACGTAGTGGCCTACAACAAAATGGACCTCCCTGATGCTTACGAGAAGTGGGAAATGTTTAGGGAAAGTCTTCGTGCACGTGGGATTGAACCTTTTTGTATGAGCGCAGTACAAAGAGACGGCACGCATGAAGTAATCTCCTCTGTTTATGAACTCCTGAAGAAGTACAGAGAAGCCAATGCAGAACCAAAAGGTCTTTTCTACTTTTAGTTTGGCATTATAAGATGAAAACTACGCTTATGAAGGTGAACTGATGCTTTTTTTTCCAATGTGGCTGTAGCATTGTTTGATCTAGCCGAAGACAATCTGGACCATGTAGCTAAGAGGATAGCTAAGGAACGAAGAGCAGCCATTAATGAGTTTGAGATCTTCCGCGATAGCGGTACCAGGGCTTGGCATGTAGTTGGAGCCGGGCTTCAACGGTTTGTTCAGATGACTAACTGGCGGTATGAGTTAAACTGAAGCCAAGATTTAACGCAGTCTAATTGATCAAGTGTCACTAACCAATGTCATCGATGTGGTTTGTGCTTGGTTAGGTACATGGATTCAGACAAAAGGTTTCAGCATGTGCTTGATGCTTGTGGTGTGAACAAATCACTGAAGAACATGGGCGTTAAAGAAGGCGATACCGTTATAGTAGGAGAGGTATGTACTGAGTTTCTCTGAATCTTTTTGTCTGTTAAAATGTGCTTTAGAGTTGCGTTAATGAACGTTTACGATCATTGTGCATGTGTGAATAGATGGAGTTGGTGTGGCATGACTCGGCCAATGGCTCGAGCCGTCCTACAGATTCGAACAAGACTTCTACAGACTCAGTCAGATGGCCTCAATGGAAATGAACAACCTTCTCTTGTGGAGTGTTTCTTAAACCGATCTTCTCCGGTCATTGGACTGAACCGGTCGCATATCAGCGAATTGATTTTTGTTATAGATATTGCTAATGTGTCATATGTGTATTTAAGTGTATTCTATATAATTATTTTTTTCATCTTCTTTCTTGACATTTGTTATGGTTTGGAATTGATGGGAAAGAAATAAATTGTTGTTTAATACCTGAAATTCTTTCTGAGGAAAAATCTGATATGTTATTGGAAAGGAAGTTTTCTTATACTATACCATCTACACCACTTGACCAACTAAAAATGAACTGGTCTAGGCAAATTATTTGATTAGTCGGTCCAATGTCAGATTCTTCCTTAACAATTATTTGTAACAGTTTGCATTTATCCCTATTTTGTTAGCTCTTAATTCATATCTTATGTTTACAATGAGACGCAATAAGTTGATACTATTTGGATCACCTGCTTGAGTGTGTGTGTGTGTGTGTGTTAGTCTTTACATGTCGACACACACTGCACCTATTGGGATTTGGGAGTAAGGGACCGGTATTCAAAACCAACAAACCGGGTCATTTTTCCCGGTTTAAAAAAAAAGACAGGAAGAGAAGAAACGGGAAGGAGGGTTATGGTCTAAAAAAGATTTGACAGAAAATCACTGGCAGTTTATTATCAGCCGTCCAATCCAAAATCAGACGGTCCGTACGAGAGAGATCTTCTTATTTGACCACACACATCAAACAGACAATCACTTCTCTCTTTGTTAAGTGGAAAATCGTAGCCGTACAGTCCAAAAGAAAACACACGTGGCTCCCACCTCATCCATCGCTCAGATCACGACACGTACGCAGAGCATTCGAGTAGTTAGTAGGTCCCATGCATACTTTGTTACCTCGTTGTCGCGTGCGGCAACAGTATCTTACGTGTCATCGACAGTGTCCCACATAGTATGAGCGTACTAGGTTCGGTGGGGCTTCTCTCTAGCTTACGTGTCTATTTATCATTCGTTCCCTTGTCCTTCCCGAAGTATCTAATTGTCTTTGTTTTATAAAAGTTGCTTTGTATTTGTGTTTAATAATTTACTTACGAACAAAATAACAATTTTTTTTTCGTTTACCTTTCAAATTTAAATTATGTAATCTCAGTGTCTTGAAAATCATATGTATAGATATTTCTAAAAATTACTGAATAGTATTATATATATATATATATATAAAATGTAGAGAGAGGGAGCACATGGAGAGCACGAACATAATTTAGGAAATAATTATGATGTATTACGTCGCACTAGGTGCCACGAGTGTGTTTGATCACCTGACTTTAGTAAAAGAAACGAATAGTAAACAAAAGGATCGGAGCTTATACTTTCCAATTACCTAAATTCTAGAACTAATATAAGTTTAAACTATTTGTAGTTTTACTATACACGAGTGTCGTAAAAGAAGTATCATCCTCTGAAATCTTAGCAAAATATCGAAGGAAAACAACGTTATTAGTTAAAATATATTGATTTATACCAATTTTTTTTTTTTTTGATTTATACCAATATTGAAAGTAAATAACTTGATGCGTTAGATAAAAATATTAGATTTCTTAACTTACACTTGGCTTAGACCAAATAAGAAATCACTAGATCATGTTTCATTTTTATCACACTCATCTACTAATAAAACAAATTATATAACCTAATC